TGTGGATCTTCACTCAGACACACATCTCACACCTGCCTTTGAGGTAGATTTGAAGATCATGGATCATTCTCTGATCTTCGAGAGAAGTTGTTGTTTTGTGAGCCACTAAAGTTCCTGTGTCATCCATGGTATTGTATTCTGGCAATGAAATAATTCTTGGGAAGATCTAGTCATCAAAAAAGTCATATTTACATAAACAGGCTGCTTTTTAGAGTCTATTAAAGCTGTAACGGCATCTAATAGTGATTTATGGAACCCATGTGCTTTCCAATTATTTCAGATACATAAAAGTAGTGGGCCCCAGCCTTTTTGACATCAGGGACCAATTTTGCAGATGACAGTTTTTCCATGCATGTGGGATAGGGGAGATGGAAGGAGAGAAGATTCTCTGAACAAATATGCAGCCTAGTCCTGATATGCCCCATCCATAGCAGAGTCCATGATCCTGCAAGGACGTAATGCTCCTGCTGATCTGAACGGGAGGTGGAGCTTAACTGCTAATGCTATCAGTAGGACAAGGCTTCAGCTGCAGATAAAGGATCACCCACTCATCCTCCGCTCATCTCCTACTGTACAGCCGGGCCCCTAACAGGCCACTGGTCTGATGGTGGCCAGGACTGGAGGCCCGGGAGATTAGCAAGTGCATTCCTGGTAGGCAGATTACTACTATTAAGCTTTCTGCAGCTGGCAAATACAGCAAGAGGTTTTGAAAAAGGAAAAGCAGCAAGGATTTGTTGAACAATAAGGTTTAATATGTGGTAGACATATTAACTGTGCTTAACATAAAGAGTATTAATTATTCAATGAATTTTCTTTTGTGTTTATTTGAAACAAATATGTTGGACGTTATGAAAGACTGTAGAGAACTCATTAGTGCTTTTCTGTTAAGATTTTTTGAAATATCCTAATTAGTTTTATTCTGCTTCCTGGCTTTTGATGCCCTGATACTTTTGTTCACAATCAGCAATATTATCAACTGCATGATAATGTGATCACTTCAACGTATTTTCTAGCCTCTGAGAAATCATCTACTTGAAATACATCTCCATATGATCTGTGTGTTGGACAGCAAAGCTGTACTTAAGTGATATTAATGGTATTCTTTAGGCTCTGGTATACAAGACAAAAACAAATCAATGAAATTCCCATCATTGTCACCAGAATTATGCTCAGAGAACCAATTCTAAGATCAAGAAAATCACTGTGTGCCCCTCATTATCGGAAGGGTGATACTGAACATTTGTTAGATGACCACGCTATTTGACTTAGCTTGTATGCTATATGTATTTCTCTAGTTATTGATACTGTGGATGTCTTTCTGGAAGACCCTCTCTTATCCTTATTCAGAAAAGACAAATTAAAATCATAGTTGCCACATCCAATTTCCTTCATGCCCCTTATAGATAACCTTTTCACTATTTCCTCCTTGGGTGTATAAACACTCACAGAGAAAAATGATTTATCACTGAAATCCCAACTGAATTAATCTGTGGTGGGTGCTGAAAAAGTTTTATCATGGGAAATATTTACCAGCTGTGCTGCAAGTAGTGGATTAAAATAAATGTGACAATGTTTCTTGGTACACAGCTACTACAATAAAAATATAGAAATAGATTTTAAATGGGCTGGGGATGTAACTCAGTGGCCTAAGTACCTGACTAGCGAGCACAGGCATCTGGGTTCAATCCCTGGTACCACATACTGAGGTGGTCCTGGAAACCATGTTGGCCACTGAAATTGAGTGTGGAGTGCACACTTGTAATCCCAGTGCTGGAGAGACTGCAACAGGAGGATTACCAGGAGTTCAAGCTGTGTAGTAAGACCCTGTAACAAATACAAAGAAAAAGGAGAAAACAAGAACATATACTAGTGCAGCATAGCATTATTCTTTATAATCTGAAGACTAATATTTACATAGTACATTTTGATCATTATGCTCATATAAAATCACATTTATACAAAAAGGAAAAGAATGACCATTTTCAATTATTTCAGCCATGCTACCTTTTGCTGAAATTATATTATTTCCAAAACAGTTACATTTCAATATTCAAAGTATGAATTTAATTATTCGAAATTTTAACCATGACAAATTCAAAATTTTAGTATATTACATCAAAAAAGTAAACAGAACTTTTAAAATAAATATAGTTGTGGAAACTATAGTATAACACTACAGAAAATAATACATTATTTTTAATTGTGGGTAGCTCTTTTGGTAATTATAGATAAAAAATATTTTAGTCCAATATAATAGTCATTTTGTAGTAATAGATGAGTTAAGTTATTCTTAAATCTTTAAAGTCTGAGTAAATTAAAAACTATGTGAATTAAGTTAATATTAAATACAAATAGACTTGTTTAAGCTCTGGATCCATTGAACCCACTTTGTCTATTTTAGCAAGATCCATAACTAATACATCATTTATACCCCCTTTCCCTGAGGACTGAGGGATGGTTTTCATATAGTAGGCTTTTAATAAATGTTGAATGAATTATTACCAGTTTAATGTACTTTAATAAAATTAGTACCTCTGGGATAGGGTAGTAGTTTATATCTTTGCATTAACTAACTTTCAGTCCAGCCATCTTCCAAATGCTAATTACTCCTCTGCTCCTCTAAGCAGAGCTTATAAAATTAGCCATGTAAACTGAACACATCAAATTTTGTTCCTTAACAGCAACCCTTTAAAATACTTAGCCTGCTAGGCAGTATCATCAGGTATCCTTTCCTCTTCAGTCTGAAGTATTTCCTCACCTGATAACTTTATGGTGCTTATTTTACAACAGTAAGAGAATCTTTTGTTGTAGTTAACTTATTCTTCTTCTGTAAATAAAACCTTCTTGGATTTTAAAAGACATGTTTCAAAGAATAGAAACAGTGCACAACATTGAAACTTGATTCCTTTTTCATCTTGCTTCCTTTTTCGTTAGATCAAGAAGGCTCATCAACACCTCTGAAATGGGTTTTGTGTTTTCCCATTGAAGTGGTACAAGACATCTAAATTACCATACATCCAGTCTTGTTCATTGATGACATGAAGTTTCCCTAAGCATTTTTCATGGGGTGTGTTAAAAATTAATTTTCTCTTGTGGTATCAATCAAATTATAACCAGTACATGTTAACCCCTGTTAATACACTAGCTTCTGTGGGACAATGTTCATCTTTCAAGCCACTCACTTATTTAGAATCTTTTCCAGAGTTTTTTATCTTACCCAGCACTATGATCTGGATTTGTTTGTTCTATTGACATTAACAATGCAATCAATAGCCCAGCTAAATCTGTAGGGTGCAATACCTATAAAGCTTTACATTTAAGTTATATATGGATGTGCTTGTGGGCTTCCACTTCCACCCAGACTCTAGAGGGGAGAGTTAGAAGCTTCATTAAAAAGATATTTGTCAGGATGTTAGAGGAAAAGAGAACCCTCCATAGGCTATCTACCTAATTGCCAGCCAATACATGATCACTCCCAGCTGAAAGCATTTATTGCTTTTACTGGCCTAAGTGATGAGGTTGTTAGCATCGCTTTTGGCTGACTGCTTTGAAATCTCTCTGCTTTCTGTTATGAAAAAAGGTCATCTTAATATTCATACAGAACTTCTGTCTCACTTCATTTCTTCCAAATTGATCTCAGTGTCCCATGAGCAAAGCTTATTCTCTGTTCACTGAAACTCAAATGTGTCAGAGTTACACAAGCAGAGTACCACTTGGGAAGGGCTTGTCCACTTTTAGTCAGAGACTGAAATTTTTCTAGTTTCTCTCCATTTCAGTTGTTCTTACATTTACCTCCTTTGCACTTCCACTTTCTAATACACACACAGTCCGTGGCTCATCAGGTTTGAAACGTGCCATTTAATGCTGAAGACAAAATTGAATATGATTGGAGTCTCTCATCGCTTGGAAGACTCTTTATGTTGATTCTAACTTTTGCTTTGACTTGCCAACAAAAATATTAAAACTTTTGAGGGGATAGTCAGTGAACAGAATGACAGGTTGTTTCTTCATGGCTCTTTTGACAATAAAAAATGAGATCTGAGGAAAGGTTTAATAAAAGGAATATTTGGTGTGGAGAGGAAAAACAATTACAAGACTAGGACTTGGAAGTCATAAAAATGAGGTAAATTGAAATCCATAACTGCAAGAAAGCAACTTGTTATCGTGACTGACTACCCCCATCACTTTCTTTACATAATCCACCCAGATTAGAACTGCCTTCATAAAAAGCCTTTTAAGGAAATAAGTTGGAAATTAGCTGTATTTGGTATGTGTTTGTATATAACATTTACTCTCATATTTTTTCTGTAAGTGGTCCACCTAGATATTCTAAAATTCTAATTCTAATCAAATAATTATAGTTTTACACATGCATCAATAAAAATAATTACTTGTAGTAAGACACCATTAATTATGTTTTGGATGATAATATAATTATGTCTTCATAGATTCTGACTCGGCTCTCTTAAATACTGCTTTCACAACTATTAAGTAGCTACTACAAGGCAGTGTTTCCAACAACGTAAGAGTGAAGGAGAGTTTTTTCTTTGGTGCTGTTATTTGTAAGGAATAATCAGACCGTGTAGGTTGACATCTTCCCTTGACCCTACTTGCCATATAGCATCTCATTCCCAGCCACCTTGTTTGGCAAAGTAAAATTAAAAAAAAAAAAAAAAAAAGCTCACAGCCACAGTATAAGATAAAACATGTTTCCTGAGAGGATAGTAATGGGAAGTTGTCATGAAGTCATGTAAGATGAATGACAGTAAACACTTGAGTCTGTTCATGGGACATATTTTTTTCACACATGCAAAATATCATTTTCTCACAGGTATGATGGTATAACTACTGCCAGACTTTCTTAAGGTGGACAAAATAATCTTGCTCAGTTACTATGTATTTCAAAATGCTTGTTCATTTTGTCTTTTCATTTGTTTTTTCACTTGTGCTTTCTTGGGGTATATCCACTAACATTCTGACATGCCTTCCTGAATAAACAGGTCGCCATGGAGATGGAGGTTACTGGGCAGTTGATACAAATTTGATTGACAGAAGTACTCTCAATGGTGAGTATATAAATTAAGTTCTATTAGATTAGCTATACTAATTAAATGGTTAATTCTAAAGTTTCTGAAGCAAATTTTTCTGTTTAGAAGTGCTAAGAACTCAGGAGTTAGGGTTTTATTGCGATAATAGGAACATTGGGCTATTAGTACAACTGTCGCAGTTCTACCGGATGATTCCAATGAGAGATGACAGATATATTAAAAATCATCAGAGAAATCCAAATATTGTACAAATTATACAGGGCTAGTAATCAACTATATTTTAAAATATGATAATATAGTTTAAATGTTTGAAACTATTTAATTTTATTAGAGGGAGATAGGTACAGTTAATTAAACTGAAACAAGTGAAGTATAATTAAAACTTAATATTACTGACTTTACACCTAGAGAGTACATTTATTCTGTAATCCTTGAGCATGTTATTACTAATTTTCCTTTTTGTTATGAAGATTAGATACTTAGGGGCTAGCCAGAGAGCTCAGCAAACTAAAGCATCTGCTTAGTGCAGCATCCAGGGTTCAATCCAGGCATGCTATGTTGACCCTGCCCCCGGGGTGTGCTGAGAAGGGACTGAGACTGGGTGTGGTGGCACAAACCTGTAATCCCAATGCTTGGGAGACTGAAATCAGGAGAATCACTATGAGTCCCATCTCTGTAGTGAAACCCTGTAGACCCTGTACTAATTACATTTTTAAAAATCCAAGATTAGATACTTATTTAGCTCCTTCTGGTGGTACTTGCCCATGTAGCTGCTGGGTTTTATGATAACCAGATGAAGGTAGCACCTACAAATTCATAGGAGCAGTTTGATGTGTGGGCTGCATTGCATGACCATGTGGTTATCAGTTTGGCAGAAATGGAATCTTTGAACAATGTGGTATTACTAAGCAAGTTTCCGAGGGACTAAAATAAAATCTGTCTATCTGTCTGTCTGTCTATCTATCTATCTATTTCTAGAACTGGTTTGATTTGCTGAAAAATATCAAATATTCAAAACACAATATTGAACAACACGTAGATGCCACCAAAGTTGACACTAAATTTTCAACATGTAACTGGAATTTCTCAAGTGCATAAGCATTGCCATATATTTCTTTTTTCTGTTGTCATCTCTTACTCTTATGTAAATTCTTTCCCATTTGATGTGTACCACATATATACAAATATCCCTAAACTGTAGTACTTAACATGATCATAAAGTTATAAAATGTTATATCAAATGTATTTTACTGTGACTTACTATTATCTATAAATTTATTTTTAGGATTTATCCAGGTGTTTGTAAATGGCTCTTGCTTTGCTGCTGTACAATATTCTAACTTTACAGAACAATTCAATTATTTATTAAACCTACCAGAAAGTTTCATGAAAGATTTGATTACTGAATAGGCAAGTTTTCATGTGGGTGATACCTTGTTAAGAACACAAGTGAGAAGCCAAAACTGTGGCCTATAAATTATTTTTGTAGCATGAAATTAGAATAGGAGGATGAGTTAAGGGGTTATTTCTTAATATACTCAATAATAATGTTCATAGATTTGCTCAAAGAGAAGAAAAATATATATGTGTATATATATATATATTTATATATACTTATATATAGAAAGAAAATATATATGAGAATATCAGAATACACATGTATACTTGCACACACACACACCCCTCTCTGTACAGTTGACCTAATGGTTGAATGAAGCTTACAGGCTTAGTGCCACCATCTTATGGCCAATGATATACTCAGGAACATATTTGACTTGTTGACTCATTCTTTTAAGGTGTTTTCCTCTGCTTTTACCTAAGCCCTTCTTTACTGTTAATGCCTTTTATCTAAATGTAGATAGGGATATTTTCTTACATTTTAAATTTTTCTTGGTTCATTCTTGCTTGTGCAACCCATTAGTTTAAATTGAGCAATTTATAAGCAACAGCAATTTCTTGGCCAGAGTTCCATAGGTTAGAAAGTCCAAGATCAAGATGCCAGTAAATTAGGCATTTGGTGAAGTCTCCATGTGCCCTTTGGAGAAGATGCCTCTCATGGTGGAAAAGGCAGCCGCATGCCTGCGACACATTTTATGTGATCATTAATCCTGCTCATGAGGGCTCTGCCAACCTAATCACACTCCAATGGCCCTACTTTGTAAGGCCTCCATAATGGATATTAGAGCACAGCATATGATTTGGGGGTGGAGGAACCACAAACATTTAACTATAGCAAGCTTCTAGAATGCATATTCTAGTTAAGCCTCCCTAAGGTTAGATTCAGGTAGTTCTCTCTGGGATAGTCACAGTTTCCCATAGTCTGTCATGCAGGCCCTACTTTCTGGCTTAAGTAACACTTGTTAAGCATAGTACCTAGCTTTTGTAGTCTTCTGGTATAAACAACAGACAGTATGAAAGCTCACAGCAGGAAGATGAAAGCAGTGACAATTTGAGATTAAAAACAGACCGGTGATATGCTCCATATAACGGGTAGGTAATGATAGTTCATCCTCAAAACTTTGCAGATTGTATTAACCTGCTTAGATTGTTACTTTAAATCTTAACATGGTACCAAGCACACTAAGGTTTCTATGAATCCAAGCCTCTTACAGTGAGCTATAGGCATAAATTGAAAGACAGGCCATGGCAGGAACAATGAAGAGGCTGAATTAAATAGGTGGACAGGGTAGAGAAATACACTCTAGAGAAATGAAAGATGATGAGGAAGTCTCAGGAAGAGACAAGATGGTAGAAGAAAGAGGCTGTTGAAATAGCATAGGGAAATAAAACTGTGGTATACTATACCTTAGATGGAAGGTTCGAGGCTTGTAGTCATGCACAGAATAACACCATCATTTTTAGAGTGTTTTTTTTTTTTTTTTTT